AATATATATAGGGATTTTGGTGCGCCATTTACATGAAATCGGACGAAACTATATATGGGAGCTATATCTAAATCTGGACCGATTTTCTCGATACTTCGTAGACATCATTCTAGACTCAATTCAGTACGTTATGCCCAATTTCGTGCAAATCGAAAGATATATAGCGACTTTGGTGCACCATTTACATGAAAACGGACGAAACTATATATGGGAGCTATATCTAAATCTGGACCGATTTTCAAGAAACTTGGCAGACATCATTCTAGACCTAAATGATTAGGCTGTACCAAATTTCGTGCAAATCGAAAGATATATAGCGACTTTGGTGCACCATTTACATGAAATCGGACGAAACCATATATTGGAGCTATATCTAAATCTGGACCGAGTTTCTCGAAAGTGGGCAGACATCATTCTAGGCTCAATTCAGTACGTTATGCCAAATTTCGTGCAAATCGAAAGATATATAGGGACTTTGGGGCACCATTTACATGAAATCGGACGAAACTATATATGGGAGCTATATCTAAATCTGGACCGATTTTTACGAAACTTGGCAGACATCATTCTAGACCTAATTGATTAGGCTGTACTAAATTTCTTGCAAATCGAAAGATATATAGCTATATCTAAATCTGAACCGATTTTTCCCAATTTCAATAGGGTTCGTCCTTGGGCCGAATAAGTGACCTATGCCAAATTTCATCCAATTCGGATCATAAATGCGACCTGTATTTTGTTTACAATTTAACATGGACAGACAGACGGACAGACGGACGGACGGACGGACATGCATAAATCGACTTAGAAAGTGATTCTATGTATATTCTCAAAAGGAACCATGGGTCTATCTCGATTATTTTTGCCTGTTACAAACATATGCACAAAGACATAATACCCTGTACCACAGTGTGGTGAAGGGTATAATAAAAATAAGGTTTTGTTATTTATTTTTTTTTTTTTTTTGTAATAATATTCCTCTACATAGGTATGCTTTATTTCATATTTCTTTTTTAACTTATTTGTTGTTATACATATCGTTTATGCCATTATATTATTCAATATATTTTTTTGGATAATTTTTTTTTAGCCAAAAGGTTGAAATTTATTTATGCAGTTATAGCATGCAATATGAATATACAATATTTTTTTTTGTTATATAAATAGAAAACTACAAAAATGACTTATTTTTTTATTATTATATAATTATTAATTATATTTGTAGTTGTTTTTGTGTTCGTCTGACACAAAATCGAAAATAATGTAGCAAAGAAAAAAATCTTTAAGACTGCTTTTCTTTGTTTTTGTTTTTGTCTTATAAACTAAGTTGCTTATTTTAAATATTAGTAGGTATTTTTTTGTTTGTTGTTGTATACAAAGTTAAGAACTTATAAATAATTATTTTTCATTTGGATGTATGTATATGTATGTGTTGTAATGCTATATTTCTTGCTAAGTACTTTGTTTTGGTTGATTAAGTTTCTCTTTTATTATTTCAATATTACTTAAAATTATTTTGAAATTTTTTTTTGACTACAATGAAAAGGGAGGGAAAATTATGAAATAAAAATAATGTGTTGATATATATAATGAACTATTTACATAAAATAACGAATAATTACAAATAATATTTACAAAGACTAATTACTGGTTATATTTATATATAGATTGCGGGAAATGTATATATATATATTAGAATGAGAATCCTGTAAAGCCTGACCTCTTTCAGAATATATAGTTTTTTTCCTGTGTATGTATGTATCTAAACTCAATTCCATTTTATTTCTGTTGTTGTGTTTTGCCTTAAAAATTAACAATTGATTTACAAAAATAATTAAAACATTTTTTTTAACAGATAATTTTTGTGGGGTTTGGATTGGAGAAACTAACAAACATTTTCTTTTTTTTTTGCTAAAGAAAATAGAGAATCGTTTTTTTGTTTTTGATATATGATTTTTGAATATTTTTTTATATATTTTTTTCAATACATATATGTATATGTAAATATTTTGTATTTTTTGTAAGGAACGATACGCTGATTTCAGACTATATGTGTGTATATTTTTTTAGTTATATTTATTTTAAATTGTTGGTGTATTTTTTTAAATTTATTGCTTGTAATGAGAACCCAAAAAATATTGAAAAAAAACCGCAATTTTCATAATTTTTAGAGATCATTGTGGAAAATTTGAAAATTTTTTCTTAGTTGCCTTCAAAATTTTAATAAAAAATGTCTAAAGTCACATAGCAGCCATGGAAAATATCTGTATACATTTCTTCCGAATTTCATCAGACATGTCTGAAGGAAATCTAAAAAAATCTTTAGATACAAAAATTAGTTGCAAAGTTCATATTTTGTTTCGAAAGACCAGATTTTTTCGGGGTAAAATACAAAATATTTTGTAATCCCCATTACTTCAGATTTTTGTCAGACATGTCTAAAGAAAATCATTTAAAATTTATAAAAATTTTCTATTAAGCAAACTTTTACCAAATGTTTTTTGTTTTGAGAATTGAAAAAAATCGACTATTTTTCAAAAGAATTTTTTCATTGGACAAATTTTTTCAGCTTGTCAAATATTCGATAAATTTTTTAGAAAATTTTTAATTTTTTTAGACTCTACTTTATTTTCGAATTTTGTCAGACATGTCTGAAAAAATCGACTATATTTCAAAAGTATTTTTTCATTGGACAAACTTTGTTCCAGCTTGTCAAATATTCGATATATTTTTTTATAAATTTAATTTTTTTTAGACTTCAGATTATTTCCGAATTTTGTCAGACATGTCTGTAAAAAATCGACTATATTTCAAAAGTATTTTTTTATTGGACAAACTTTGTTCTAGCTTGTCAAATATGCGATAATTTTTTTAAAAAAAATTAATCATTTTTTTAGACTCCATCTTATTTCCGAATTTTGTCAGACATGTCTGAAAAAAATCGACTATATTTCAAAAGTATTTTTTCATTGGACAAACTTTGTTCCAGCTTGCCAAATATTCGATATATTTTTTTAGACAAGATTTAATTTTTTTAGACTCCACATTATTTCCGAATTTTGTAAGACATGTCTGAAAAAAATCGATTATATTTCAAAGGCATTTCTTCATTGAACAAATTTTGTTCCTGCTTGTCAAATATTCGATATATTTTTTTAGAAAAAATTAATTTTTGTTTAGACTCCACATTATTTCCGAATTTTGTCAGACATGTCTGAAAAAAAAATCGATTATATTTCAGAAACATTTTTCCATTGAAATTTTGTTCCAGCTTGCCAAATATTCGATATATTTTTTTTAGAAAAAAATTAAATTTTTTCCTATTTTCCATTTCAGAGTTTAGCCAGATATGTCGGAAGAAAATCTAAACCAAAACTACGGAAATGTCATAGAGAAAATATTTAAAATTTACAAAAATTTTACTGCGTTCCGGTAGGCCAGCCTATTGATTTTTTAAATGGCATAAGACTTAATTTTCTCTATTCCCCATTACTTTAAAAATTTTTCAGACATGTCGGAAGATAATCTAAATAATTTTTTTTTAATTTTTTCAGGGAAACTATATATTTTCTCCATTCCCCACTACTTCAGAACTGTATCAGACATGTCGGAAGAAAATCTAAACAACATGTATGAAAATGTCATAAGGAAATCACTTTGAATTGACATCATTCTTTTTTGTAGAGTCGAATAATTTTTTTTCCCAAAATTATCATAAATTATCATAATTCCGACTTTGGTCCGACATGTCGGAAAATAATCTAAAACCCAATTCTCTAAAATGCAATTAAGAAATCGAACATGTTTTAGAAATGCGCTACAATAATGAATGTACTTTTCCGTTCAGAGAGCTTTCCCGAAAACAAAGCTTTCAAGTCAAGCTTTTACAAGTTTGTTTTTTGATTGTTTATTAAAGCTTTACTACAAAGAAAAGCTTTCAAAACCAGAATTAATGTTATTTTTATGATTAAACCTTTTTATTTCAATTGATAACTATTTTGGGAGAGGAAAATTCGTTTTTTAAAGTAGAATTGATTATAAAGCTTTTAATGCACAAAGCTTTCAAATCGAAATTTTAGTTTTCATAATCTTGTTTATAGCAGTCAAATTATAGAAAGTTTCTTATTTTAATTTAGAATAACGAAAAAAATACTTTTTGCCAATAAAAGCTTTTTTACAAAAAGCTTCCTAAAGTCGGTAAGAATTTCAATAACATCTAAAACATTGAGAATAAAGGTTTCATCCCTAAAAGATTTCTAAACATGAAACTAAATGTAGAGCTTTTATAAATAAAAGCTGTCAGATCCCCAACCATAATTTTTTCAATTTTTTTTTTTGGGTTCTCATTACATATTCGGTAAAAATTTTCAATAAAATCTAATTTGGGAACAAAAAACTATTTTCAAAAGCTGTCTAAACTTGAAACAATTTAAAGAGCTTTTTTAATAAAAGCTTTCAAATCCCCAATCGATTTTATTGAATTTTTTTTTGGGTTCTCTTTACATGTTCGAAATTTGTAATTTTTTCTTTAATTTCCAAAGCAGATTTCAACTTCCGTTCTATTGTTTTTTTTCTTCAATTTTCTAAAAGCTTTTCTTTTGTCACTTTTTTGTTGCGTTGCTGCTCATCTTAAAAACAAATTTCTTTGGTTGTATGGTAAAATAAAAACAAATACAAAATAAAGAAGAAAACTTTAACAAAGCTTTCACGAAACTAAACTAATCGTTGCATTAAGCTTAAGCCAAGGTTCTTTTTGTGTGCGAAAATCATTAGGGTTTTTTTGGGTTGACATGATCTTCTGTGGATATATAATAGCTTTTAAAGCTTTTTAGCAAGCATGGTTGCCATGTTTATGATTTTCATTTCGTTGCCAAAAAGCTTTCTTTAATTTTTGGAAAGAAATTATGTTTCTTCATATGTATGTATCTATATGGAAGACTTTTGAAGCCTTGTTTTGGGTGTGTGTGTGTAACCTGTTCTATTTCGCTTTACTTCAATCCTTAAGTTGTCAATTGCACGGCATGCAACATCACGGTTTTCAAATCCGAAGCCAAATGGCTGATATCCACCACGGAATCGACCATTTCCTGAACAGCTGTTACACTGGGAAAATGAGCAGCTGCCTGTTTGGATTTTAGTACACAGGTTTTTAAGGCCTCCGCCAGATTATTGGTACATCGGAGGATTTTCTCTTTCAAATCGATTTTGGAAACGTTGCGATGAACAATGTCACCAATGGTGACCAAATTGTGAGCACTCACCACCACAAATTTCCCATAGGCAATGAAAAATTTGGGTGGTTGATTTTTCTCCACTGTCTCGAGGAAGGAGTCAATGGCCTGGCGCAGATTACCCATGTGGGTGGAGATTTGCACTGCATAATAGCGTACCAACATTTTATCCTTGTCGGTCATTTCCGTTTGCAACTTTTTCCCATTACTGGGCGTGGAAGGTGTCGTCTGCTGGGCATTATTGGCCATGGTCAGGACAGTGTTCTCAGCTATTTTCAATTCCGTGTCGAATTTATTTTTCAAATTATCCTGAATATTTTCACGTAGTGAGGAATTTTTCCTTGCCGCTGCCTCTTTCGATTCGAACGAGACATAATCGTAATCCTCCAACCAGTCAGCATGGCTGTGATCTGTCGGATCATTGGCGGTGGGTGTGTGAGGCACCGAAGTTGACGTTTGATTAATGGCCGATGATTCCTCGATCACCTCATTCAATTGCCTTTTGAACAGCAACGAAGCATTGCCTTGAATAAACGAAGTTGTGGACCGAACATCTTCGGTGAGGGTTTGAGCACAGGCTATAAGGCGATCTAAGCTATCGGGAGATTTACACGTTCCCTTGTCATCGTTACGCACCAATTGATCTAAGGACCAACCACCGTTGGCCTCCAGAACTTCACAGGATTCTTGCACCAATTTATTGGCATCCCGCAGTGCCCGAATAATGGGTTTTAGTTTTTGTGCCAGCGTACGATCCTCAGATTTGGAGGCATTGCCCAAGGCACCCTCACCAAACTCCGCCAAATCATGTAGGGCGGTACGCAGACGTACTGCGGCCAATTTCACCTCCATAAGGACAGGTTCAAATTTTTCACGGCTACGCCAGTCGGGTGAGACAAAGGCCAGAAGTCTACAAGAAAAGGAAGATGAAGAAGAAGAATGGAAAAATTATTTAAAAAAATCCACGGATTTGGCTAAGGACAAATTTACGGTTCATGGTTAGTTTTGTCGGTAACCTCCAATAGGTTATAGGAACCACAAATCACTTCCAACAACTCACCTGGTTATTGCCGTTGTCGTTTCCGATTGCAGTTTGGCCAGAGTTTCCAATGCCGAGGACAATTCCAGTGGTAGCTCTTTGGTAACGGTGGCATTTTTATCCACACCATTTGTCGCGATGGGGAAATCATAGGTCGAACAATTACCATTCACCGAGGCTCTCGATGAGGGTCTCTGCTGTTGTTGTTGCTGCTGCTGTTGCAGCACTGCTCTCACCGGCAACGGATTACGACGCGGTATATCATAATCGGGCATATTCGCCAACGATGAACGATTCGATGATGAAAATGACAACGACAAGCTGTCACTGGTCAGCAGTGAGGAGTTCGAACTGCTCGGTGTCAGGGTATGCTGATGTTGCAGCAACGAATTCAATGGTCTTGGCACATCATAATTTTCTTCCTGAATTGGAGTGGAGCAGGCGGCTTTCATGGCGGCAGCATGCAAGTGGGCCATGTTACGCTGAATGTTGCGCGGTGTGTCGTAATTAACGGGTACAGCGGGTTTGGGTATGTCGTAGGTGTCGAATTCGTGACTTAATGAGCGATTGGGAAGATTTTGGTAGATTTGTTGGTGGTGGTGGTGCTGCTGCTGGATATGGGATTGTGACTGTGACAAATGGTGATGGTGTTGTTGCTGCTGTTGTTGGTGCAATTGTTGCTGGGGTATATTGTAGATATATACATCACCATGCCGTTGTGGTGTAATGACCTGTAAGGAGAAGAAGAAGGGGAGATTTTGATTCAGATGTTTTTGGCAAATAATTTTGGGATTTATTAGTAAAAATCTTATATTTTTTTATTCAGCTTAAGATAATTTCTTCGATAAAATTAGTCACACATTTTTCGATGACAAAATTAAATTCATCATGCAGGATATTTATTTTATCTTGAAAAATTTCAATTCAGCTAGCTGAATTTACATTTTTGGTTACAAATATGTAACTCAGCTAACTGTTTTAAAATTTTTCGAAAACTTTTTTGAATTCAGCTAGATGAATAAAATTTTTATTAGTGAAAATCGGAATTCAGTTAGCTGTTCATATATTTTTTGATGAAAAAATTGAATTCAGCAAGCTGAATGTGTATATTTTTCGGGAAATTTTGCAATTTAGCTAACTGAATTTACATTTTTATGTAAAAGTATGTAATTCTGCTAACGGAATTTACATTTTTGTATCAAGCTAAATCTAGCTGAATTGACATTTTTACTTATAAATTTTTAATTTTAGTGTGAATAAAGTGTGTAAGAATGTTTTTGCGTAATTCAGCTATCTGAATAGAAGAGGAAGCATAGTTTCGTGCTTTTTAATCATTTTAATGAACATTCAGCTAGTTTCAGCGTAATTCAGCTTGTTGAATTGTCACCAAAAAAATGTATTCGTAAAAAAAAAGATTTTAATAACAACATTTGTTTTTTCTGTAATGTTTTTATTCATTGGAAATTCATCTAAATAAATTATTATTGTAATTCAGCAAGCTGAATTAAGTTTTCTGTACAAACTTTTCAACTTCGAACATTGAAATATAATTTATAGTAAGTTTTTAAACGTATTTTTTGGCATGAATGTATAATTCAGCTAGCTGAATATTAGTTAATTACTTTAATTTACAATCATTTTCACAGATAGCTAATATTTTATTGAATCATTTCAGATTCAACAACAAACTTCCAATTCAGCAAATAGGTTATGTTAATATTATACAATTCAGCAAGCTTAATTTGATTCCATAATTTCCATATAGATCATTATCACATGTAGACATATTCTTATTCAATATTTTGTAATTCAGTTGACCTAGCAATTTTTAAACAATTACAATTTACACAATTCAGCTAGCTTAATATGATGATTTATAACTGCAATAGGAGTTTAGTTGAATTTTAATAGGTTTGTTGTAGATCTATTATGTTTAGAAAACATTTTGGTTGCAAAATAGGTTATTCTGCTAGCTGAATATGACAATATGCCTTTGTTTCATATTTGTTAATTGTTTCACAATCATAAAACTTTAAAATGTATTCAATTCAGTTAGCTGAATTTGATTTTTTGGCACAAATAAATATATTTTTTAATAAATTTTTTGTTTATTATTAAAATTTATTAACTTGAATTTGAGTCCGTTTTAAATTATGTGTTAATTACAAATATTCGAAAATAAAAACAGCTGCCTTTTGCCATAAAAAGCTTAAATATTCAGCATTATTTTGCTAATAAATTTGTTTATTAACTTTTTTTTTATTTTAAATTGATTTATTTTGTTTTAAATGTATATTTATTGTTTATAAAAATCACTTTTATTAGAAAATTTGATATTCAGCTAGCTGAATATGATAATTTGACTTTGTTACGTAGATTTGAATTGTTTCGCAATCATAAAACTTTAAAATTTGCACAATTCAGCTTGCTGAATTTGATTTTTTAGCACTAGTAATTATTGCATATTAATTTTGAGAGAATTATGCATTATGCATTTCAACTAGCTGAATATGGCGATTTTAATCTTAAACATGATTGTCAGTGGATTTGTAATATTCAAATTGCATATTTTAAAATTCAGCTAACATTTTTTGCAATTTATCTGTTTGTTTTGTTAAATAAATTATTTTTGTTATATAAATTTATATTAGTATTGTTTTTTTTTTTCTTTTAGATAGTTTCTCATTTTCACACCCTTCTCTGAAGAATCCGCCAAGTTCCTCAGGATGCATACCTTTGGTAAGCTATTTTATATTTTTCCCTATTTTTTTTAATTCTGCAATTATTTTGTTGTTAATATTTCAATATTATTTTTATTGTTTCCATATTTTGTTTTCGGTTTCATAAAATATTTACTTAACCAAAACGAAACCGAAAATTTTGTTGCCTCGACTCTTTTGAGACATTTCATATTCTATCCACACCTTGTTTTTCAACACCCAAGGGATTAGCCAAATGGGACACGTTTTACTACAAGTTCACACGGAGTAAATTCAATGTTATGCAGCCAATGGGGATATAGGCTCTCTCTCTCAATTTTAAGTTATTAGTAACATATATATTTTAATTAACAATTTTTTACTAATACTACAGATAATATTCATTAAGTATTATATAAAATAATTCACTGAACATTTATTTCTTTTATTAAATTCCGAAATTTGTTACACACCTTTTACACCAAACACACACTCTCGCACACAAACACACACTCCTCGAGCTAACAATGTTTGTAAGGAATCCTGTTGTCTGTGTCTGTAGAACATTTGCAATGTTCTACTACGGTTTTTATATTGATTTTCTTGTTCTTCTTTTTTATCTTCCTTTATACCGAAATTATTAATAATATTTTGTTGATAGTTTTCTTTAAAAAATATATATTTGGCAATTTATATGGAACACATTTGTTTCTTTTTATTTGTTGTTGTTAATTCATTGTAAAATAAAGTCTTTATTGTCTAAGCGAAAATTAAAAATTTCTTTTATTATTTTCTCCGTATATCCTTCTATGCCGTCTATGTCATTACACTATGAAAAATACTACTGTTTCAGTGGCAGCATTGTTGTTGCCAGAGTAAACACGCACACACACCACTCAGTGGAGAGTAGCACCGAGTCTACTCTCTGTGATGTTTTTAGTCCTGTTCAATCACAATTTGCCGTTAATGTGTGGGCAGTGAGCATGTCCGTTGGCAGAGAGTAAGTGAGCGAGAGAGGCGAAGTGTTTTATTTACATATGTGGGTGGGTGGTTAATGGTGGTTGTTTTTGTTGCGATTTTTGTTTTGTTTTGCGATTTTATAGAGTTTGTTTGTAGAGGTCGCTGTTGACTTAAGGCAGAGATAGAGAGAGAGAATTAATATAGTTAAACTATACAGAAATAAACAATGCAATTGCCTTACTCTCAGTGGGCCTTTCAGAGAGGCCTTTCTAATTGGACAAACATAAAGGGAGATGTGAAATTGGAATTTAGAGAAAGAGGGAGAGAAAATCAATTCAATTGTGAGAGGAGAGTGCAGTACGAGTATTAACTGCTGTAGTTAAGTAGATTTGTATTAAAAATTAATTCATTTATAAGAAAAATTTAAAAAAAAAATAAATACAAAGAAATTATTTATAAAATATTTTTTTAAACCAGTTGATGTGAAAAAACTAGAAAATAAATAAAGTCCGTTAGGGGCCATATTGTGTATTTTATTTTTAATTTTTATTTTTATAATTGATTTGAAAATGTTATTTTTTTAATTTTTATATAACTCAGCAAAGAGCTGAATTGCAAAAACTATTTTTATTTATACATGCACATAATTTTATTTTTGTTTTTTTATTCTTCTGTGCAAATTCAGCTTGGCTGAATTTTAAAATTTGAAAAATAATTTACGAGAAATATGTCTGAAATGCAGGAAAACATAGTTTAAATGCAAGTAAGCATAGCTGAATTGATAAATTTACACTTGAAGTTTAATTATTTATTTCAATAAATATTATTCTGATTAATTTAGCTCAGTTGAATTGTTTGGCAGCATTTTAACTGAGCTGAATTTGGGATTTGTTTAAAACATTCGTATAAAAAAGTATGTGTTATATTAAATAACTCATGTTTTTTCAATTCTTCTTCACATATATTTCATTTTTATTGCCGATTTAATACTTTTGGTGTAATTCAGCTAAGCTGAATTATTAAAACGTGAATAGTTACGAATATAAAATTATTTTCCAATAAAAATAAATCATATTTGTGCAATGCAACTGAGCTGAATTTGCAAAATTGTAATATTTTCACGTATAAATTAATATATTATATAATATGCGAATCTACTGCAATTCAGCTGAGCTGAATTGTCAAAATATGTTATTCAGCTAAGGAAATTTGTTAAAATTTTAATATTTTTGCATACTAATCCATAAAAACATATTTATATTGTAATTTAGATAAGCTGAATTAATTCATTTTAAATTTTATCATATTATTTGGTAGCATTTTAACTGAGTTGAATTTGTGATTTGTTTAAAATATTTCTATAAAAAATTATATAAATCATATTTGTTCAATTCATCTTCACACACATTTCATTTTTATTGTTGATGTAATACTGTTTGTGTAATTCAGCTCAGCTGAATTATTTAAACCGTGAATATTTTCGAACATAAACTTATTTTCCAATAAAAATAAATCATATTCGTGCAATTCAGCTGAGCTGAATTTGCCAAATAGTAATATTTTCACGTATAAATTAATGTATTATTACATAATGTGCGAATATACTGCAATCCAGCTGAGCTGAATTGTTAAAATATGTAATTCAGCTAAGTGATTTTTTTTAGAATATGAATATTTTTGCATACTAATCCATAAAAACATATTTATATTGAAATTCAGCTAAAATTTAATTAATTAAGTTACTTAATAATGAAACTATCTCGTTATAAAATCAGTATTTAATAACAACATTGAAGAACAACATTCCATGTTTTAAATTTTTTGTTACTCTCTCTCTCTCTCTCTCTGTTTTCTCATATCTCTCAATGACTTGTTTGCTTAAGGCCCTTTGGAATTTGCTACCGGTTTTAAATGGAAATTCGGATAATGTCCAAAGCCAATACTATTTACTTGTCTTCTTCTTCTTTATTTTCTTCTCTTTGTTGTTGTTCTATTGAGAAGTTCAATAACATTTCACTACCTTTGCAGACCTTTTCCCTTGCAGATTTCAAGTAATGATAGAGAACATAAGA